TTATCAATAGCTCAAATGTAAACCCTTTTATCACAAAATATTTTAAGGCTAGAACAAACTGCAAGCGTTAGTGAAATCTGGAGATATAAGAAAAATGATCTAAAAAAATGTTCAAATTACGAAACGTCCATAAGAAATGTATGGGGGTACGACTTTTAGTTTTGTAGTCTTTTTGCATTGCCTGTTTTGATATGTTTGATGTTTCATACTATAGTATTCATGTTTACTGTTTCCTATAATAGTTATTTTTCACATATTTGTTCAAACGTCTGCAAATAATGTCCTTCTTGGTGCAAAAACTCGTACTGCCGTACAGTATCTGAAATACCGCCAACCCTAGAGTGATTATTGAAATTGGTCCATTCTTCTTTTATAACCCATTGCGCAACTGTGGATGTAAACATAATAGCCTGTCTTGTTCTGCTTTTTGAGGAGAGTGCCAGATCAATGAATGTAAGAACATTGAAACAAAATGATAACAGTTATTTAAATGAATAGTTTGTCCAAGAAAACCTATTAAATTTAGTTCTTTTTAAGTAACTATGGAAACTAAAATGTACATACAAATATGCCCTTGTCGTTTTAATAAAGTCTATTCTTGTAATTATTTGATATTTCAACATCCAATCTGATATTTAATTGATGTATATGTGCTTCCCGTCATCCCATACCGCCAAAAGTCCTAAAACAAATATCACAAAAATATGTAATTTTGCCGCCATTTTGAATTAGATTTTTTAGTAATTTCCCATGGCCGGATTTTGTCGGATTTTGGATATGTTATAAAGCATTATTTTCTGTGTTGAATACCACTTCAATCGCTTGTGAAGCAATTTTGACCAGGTTTAAGGGTAATTTGTCGTATTTTTCCTGGACTATGCCATCCATTCTCTATTGTTAAAATGTTAAAATTATTCTGTTGTTAAATGTTAAAATTTATTCTGTACTTTTTTGTAAATTTACTAACAATATTTGAGATTTATTGTAGTGTTTATTTAATATTTTGTATGAAGTGGAATAATCTCAATGGCTACTCTTGGAAAACAACCTGGGAATAAAAATGAAATAGGTTCGTACAGGTATTTATTTGTACATTTAGTAAGTACCATGACAAGTTCTAATTGGCGCGAAAACAATATTGTTCGGAGGAGATTTTGACCGGGTTCTGCCTATTGCAAATGTCCTGTTGCTCCAAGCAAAAAAGGTAGTAATCAGGCGTTGATTAGGCCCTTTTTTGATAGAATATGTTAAGTCAACCTCACTTTTAGGAGGAATACCACCACATAAACTTAGATTAGGCTAATAGTAGTTTTTTAATGTTGATCAGAAACAAATTTTAGGTTTTTTAAGTTTGGTCAATGGGATGCCTTTACTTTACGCTAATTGTTTTAAACCTTTACAAATGGAGTGTAAACTTAGAAATAATAACTGCAGGGTAGCCACCAGCCATGAAAACCTTGAAAAGCTTGAATTATGCATGAATTCTTGTGACCATGGAAAAAGGCATGGATTATGCATGGATTTCTCCAATGGACCATGAATTTTCAAAATCATGAACAATTATTGAACCAGAACCATTATACTTTCCAAATAAAAAATATTTCATATTAAAAAGCAGTTTTTAGAAACAAACACCATGAAAATACTGTGTGGAGATGATTATTTAACATGTTCCACGATTAGAATCAACTGCTTAGTTCATTCCAAGTCATCCAAAGATGCTGATGTCAGCTGAGACTTCCTGAGGACTGTATATGGTACGAAAAGTCATTAGTAGGCCTAACCCCGCGAATGAAAAAGGGGTATGGGGACTTAAATCACAAAAACAGAAGTTTTAGACCATGCACAGAATTGAAACGGGATGCGCAATAAAACCAAATTTCCGACTCTGACGCCTGATTTTTTTAGCTTTTTGGATAAAACCATAGATAAAACATACTCTAAAACCATCATATCTTACGTACGTTCATAAAATAAACCAGAAATCTCATTTTATGACAATTATGTAGGTGGATAAAAAAAGGACTATTCTGGCTAGGTGAGTGGGATTTTTGTTTTATTCCCGTGGAAAGACTGAATTAGACCTAGACTTAATATATTTTACAATTCTTCTCCTTCTCCAATATCTCATATAGAATAGCTAGACCTGTTTTGAATATTCAATAGTTTAGAATAGTCAATTTTGTTTTGAATGTTTATAAATCACTCTAAAAAAGTTGTATATTAAGTATGAAAGGTTAAAAGTAACACACAAGGAAACTGCCTCTTTAACGTCAGTTTATGAAGTCAGCAAAATTCAATTGTGTTGAAATTGTATAAGCGCATCGACCATGAATTTTTTTAAACTACCAATGAAAACCATGAATTCTGCATGAATTATATCATCCCACTATGGTGGCAACCCTGTAACTGGATCGGGGTGCTAATTTAGCGGTTTTGACCAAGAGCTAAGCTTATATCAACACCAGCTTATAACCAGTGTTAACCCAAAACAGACAAAACACACCTGTAATTGCCTTTTCATATTTTACGAAGACAATTTCAAATATTTATTCACAAACATGTTTATTGCCTATAGCAGAGTTAAGCCATAGATAAATCATACTCCCTTGTGTTGCTTAGTCTATGGTTAAGCATCTGGAGTAATTCAAATTGTTTATTGAAAATAACATCAACAAAAGCAAACAAAGACAAAAGATAAACCTGACACAGATAGATAGATAGATAGATAGATTTATTTGATAATTTGGTTCTAAGTTTGTTTGAATAATATTACAATAATTTGTTTTACATCTGGGATTTTTTGGGACTTATGTCCCTACAAGCCACTAGTCTTTTTTAAATTGGAAATAAATCCGACAAGTTTAATTGAATATATTAGTGGAAATCTAGCCAAACAAATGTAAATTTGCTTAGTCTGCAGGTTTGTTGCAGAGACGGTATTTAAATATACAATAAATAGCAACAGCAAGCATTATACTGTGATTTGACGATTTAGACATCCACATTGGTTTTAGAAACACAATTTAACACTTTTATTTGGTAAAAATTTTATTTCTTTTGTTGTAGATAAATGATTAAAAATAGGGATGGACGGGATTGAATTTTTAGTTCGGGACGGGATTTTTATTTCCTTCCCGATTTTCGGGACGGGACGGGACGGGATTTTTTTCTGTGCATAAAAAGAAAGTACTGTATTGCAGTTACCAAAAAAGACATACCAAATCAATTTTTACCATTTGTGGCACTGATCTATAAAAACAAAAAAATGGGTAACAATATACAGGTACCTGTACGCACACCCAGTAGTACCCGCAGGTAGTACCGCACGGCCTATGCGGGACTATTTTTTCGTATCTTGTATCTATCTATTGTAAACAAACAATTTTTGAAATAAAACAGATTTTGATTTGATTTGATTTGACCTATAGAAACTTGTGACTCGCGGGTCACGGGGTGATCGTCTGTATGACTCACGGTCACGGCGCGATCGTCGTCATGACTCGCGGTCACGGCGCGATCGTCGGTATGACTTCGCGGTCACGGGGTTATCGTCGGTATGACTCCACGGTCACGGCGCGATCGTCGTCATGACTCGCGGTCACGGCACGATCGTCGGTATGACTCGTGGTCACGGCGCGATCGTCGGTATGACTCCCGGTCACGGCGCGATCGTCGTCATGACTCGCGGTCACGGCGCGATCGTCGTCATGACTCGCGGTCACGGCGCGATCGTCGTTATGACTCGCGGTCACGGCGCGATCGTCGTCACGACTCGCGGTCACGGCGCGATCGTCGTCACGACTCGCGGTCACGGCGCGATCGTCGTCATGACTCGCGGTCACGGCGCGATCGTCGTCATGACTCGCGGTCACGGCGCGATCGTCGTCACGACTCGCGGTCACGGCGCGATCGTCGTCACGACTCGCGGTCACGGCGCAATCGTCGGTATGACTCGCGGTCACGGCACGATCGTCGTCATGACTCGCGGTCACGGCGCGATCGTCGTCATGACTCGCGGTCACGGCACGATCGTCGGTAGGACTCCGCGGTCACGACGCGATCGTCGGTATGACTCGCGGTCACGGCGCGATCGTCGGTATGACTCGCGGTCACGGCGCGATCGTCGGTAGGACTCCGCGGTCACGGCGCGATCGTCGGTAGGACTCCGCGGTCACGGCGCGATCGTCGGTATGACTCGCGGTCACGGCGCGGTCGTCGGTAGGACTCCGCGGTCACGGCGTAATCGTCGAAATGACTTCGTCTCCTGCGTTCGCGGACCTATCGCTCGCAATAATAGCGTTATTGGCACTCGCGAAGCGGAAAAATCGCCGACGATCGGACCAAATCCCGTTCCGAAAAATTCCCGAGTCAAATGTAATCCCGTCCCGATAATCGGGAATATTTTTTTCCCGAAAAATTCCCGAAATTTTGGGACCCGTCCATCCCTAGTTAAAAACTATTACTTGACCTATTACGAAATATAAAGAGGCACCGTTGCACAAATGAAAATACTGTAACTATATGATTTAATTTGTAAAAAAGAGTTATAAAAAAACCTAGAAACACAAGTGATACAGGTCAAGTAGTATCAGGGGCTCACTCCCAACACAAGTGATACAGGTCAAGTAGTATCAGGGGCTCACTCCCAACACAAGTGATACAGGTCAAGTAGTATCAGGGGCTCACTCCCAACACAAGTGATACAGGTCAAGTAGTATCAGGGGCTCACTCCCAACACAAGTGATACAGGTCAAGTAGTATCAGGGGCTCACTCCCAACACAAGTGATACAGGTCAAGTAGTATCAGGGGCTCACTCCCAACACAAGTGATACAGGTCAAGTAGTATCAGGGGCTCACTCCCCACCTGGATATTGGTCTGGATATTACAGTAGATGTGGCTTGAAATGCATCAGATGTCCATAAACTGTATTATGTTATAAAATGTGCTGTTGAATGTGTTTTATTTGTAGTGATTGTTAGTTTTTGCATGTTTCAGACACATGCCCAGAGCCAGCGGGACAGACAGGTCAATGTCCGTATGTTGAACTCTCTGCTGGGTCGATCATCTTGGCTTGGAGGTGAGAAGGTGTCAGTCGCAGATGTAGCAGCCTGGTCTGCTATCAAGAGGTCACCAGGCATAGACCTCAGTCAGAACATGGCTCGGTGGAACGATCAATGCACCCAGGCATTTCTAGTCGGTGAGAACACAAGGACCAAAAGTCTTTAGGTGTTATTAGCGAATTTGCCCTTTAGTGTATTACCGCAGGAGTTATCTAGCATTATAAAATCATTTAAACATCATATGCCACAATTCAGGGTGTCCACCAGGCCAACCAGAAAAAAATTCAGGAGTAATTCCAGGTAGTTCAGGTCGTACTTTTCATACTAAATTTTCCAACATTGTTTTTGCGCCAACTCCGGCAATGCTGTTTTGTCGCTAACACAGCTATTTTAGTTATCGGTAAAAACATTCTCAGTTAAAGAAACAAAATTATTTATGATTACCTAATTTATATTGTGACACAAGTATGCAATTTTTGTATATTACTGACTGATTAAATAATCAATCTGAATATTAAAAACTAAACCTTAAACCTACAATTTATTTCATTTCATATAACTTTATTCATTTAAGTACAATACATATATACAGGAATTTAAATAATCAATCTGAATATTAAAAACTAAACCTTAAACCTACAATTTATTTAATTTCATATAACTTTATTCATTTAAGTACAATACATATATACAGGAATGGCGTCAAGAGTAATTTAATAAAACTAACTTAACTAAAATACTCATCATTATCATGCATGGCATAACAACATACCATCAATATTAATAGATTTTCAGATCAAATAAAGTAAAACAAGCAGTGCAATATGAAATATTTAATACACAAAAATATCAAAATTAAAATAATAGATACAATTATTTTAAAACCAAAACTTTCAATTATTCTTTATATCTAGCGTATCAACTATACTCAAAAAATGAATTTTTATGTTGGGGAATAGTAATTGGCATATCAGATTCTAGCTTAAGGGAAAAGTTACTATCTACTGATAACCTTACCCTTGATGATGTGATTAGTAAGTGTAGGGCACATGAACAAGCTAAGAAACAACTAGTAGAAATATCCTCTGACAGCCCTAAAAATGTTAATGTCGTTAAAAGGGACGATTCCTTTTCTAGGCCTACGTTACAAAATTCAGTCTTTGACTGTAAACGTTCTGGTTTACAACACTCTAGAGGCCAATGTCCAGCTTTTAATTGAACTTGCAATCAATGCTTGACTAAAGGTCATTTTGCTAAGATGTGTAAAACTCGAAAGAATCTCCCTAGTAAGAGTAAAAATACTGATGTTTTAGAGGTTGTAGAGAATGAAGATTCTGATTATCCGTTGCAGGTTGATTGCATCTCTAACCCAGTAAAGAATCAAGATTGGACAGAACCCTTAACATTGCCAAATAACAAAACTGAGCAGTTTAAATTAGATACTGGGGCTCAGTGCCATGTTATTTCCCAAGATTTGGCACTAGCTTGTAATCTTAACATTGTACCTTCTGCAACTAAATGCCTTGTTTCTTTTAACAACCAAAAAACGCCAGTTTTGGGTGAAGCCATTTGTCCAGTTGTAACCAAAAAGTCTCATAAAGACACTGTCTTGTTTGTAATAGTTCCAAATGGACATCAATCAATATTAGGAAGAGTATCATGTGAAACACTAGGGTTCGTCAAACGGATTGCTGGTATAATTGATCAGTCTATAAGTGGCTTATATGATGGAATAGGGTGTTTAAAGTCATTTGAGTATGACATTGATCTTGTGGAAAATCCCAGTTTCAAAATACACCCACCCAGGCGAATACCTCATCCAATACGTGACGCAGTGAAAGCAGAACTTTACCAAATGGTAAAAGACAAGATTATTACTCCAGTAAGTGGGCCTACTCCTTGTGTGTCTTCTATGGTCATAGTCCAACAAAGAGACAAAATACGTCTTTGCTGACCCAACTGATCTAAACAAAAATGTAAAGCGTAGACATACCCATTGGCTACATTAGAGGACATCTCAGCTAGATTGAATGGTTCTAGTTTATTCACCATCCTAGACTGGAAAAAAGGGTTCTGGCAGATAAAAATTACAAAGAGAACATCCAAACTACTAACTTTTTCAACACCTTAGGGGTGCTACTCTTGTTTACGCATGCCCTTTGGTTTGGTATCGGCCCCTGAAGTGTTCCAGTATATTATGTCAGACTTGCTCAAAGGAATTGAGAATGTAGAGTGTTCAATGGATGATATACTCATTCACAGTAACAATGAAAGAGACTTGCAAAATACCACGAATGAAGTAATAACAAAGCTGAGTGAATCAGGACTTACACTTAAAAAAGAAAAGTTTGAAATGAAGATGTGTTTGTTAAGGCCTTGGTATATAAACTACAGCATGAATAAATCAACTACATTCATAATAAGCTACAACAAAATTATTAAAACCAAAATAAAATACGTTTTTGTATTAGGCTACGCCATTTAATTTGAGTTGTTGAGCCTGCACTGTGTTAGTGTAAAACCTATTAGATTGGATTGTAGTAAATGACTAAACACAAAAAATGATCAGGAATAAAAAAAAACATAAAAATGTTTTTTTTATAGAGATTACATTAAAAAAGACATTGCATAAAAATTACTTCTGTACAGGCCTAGGCAATCACATTCATATTATTATTATTACTTGGTGAAACCCGTCGAAATCGACGGTTACTTTCAAGGCTTACGTTAATTCATCTAACTGCGATAAATTGGGTGAAATATACATATTTTGAACATTTAGCATTGTTTAAAGAGTAATAAGTGTAAAAACAATAATGATATTAATTGCGTTAGTTAACAAATATGTTTGATCATTCAATGAATAAAATATTCCCCATACCGTACGTCATCGGAGTTATTATTAGTATGTTATGGTATCTCTTCCTTTGGAAGATCCTTTAAATAGTATTAAAATCCTATTGGTGGATCTTTTGTAGTTAAACACTTCCGTGATTTCATCAGTGTAATATGATTTTATTTCAAAAGAAAATAGTTTTTGGGAAGACATATTCTAACTTCAAAGGGAGGTATATCCGTTACAGTATAAGTTTGATTTTTCCTTCGTCACGTCGCGTCAGTTCATATCGTATTCTGGCTAGCATAGTTTTGAGAAATTGATTGTGGGGTTACTGTTAAAGCTGGAATTCCTTGACATGGGGGATGTCAGTTAGTTGTCTCAGCCTTATCAATAACATAAAGTTGTCAATATAATCTCTCTACGGAATGTTAGGTGTAGTGGAATACTTGAAGTGAAGTTGGCTTTTATTCTTGAACTGTTAGGCCCCTCGCCCACTATACGATTTCGGTCATACGACACTGTGTCGGAACGACAACATTCCAATAGTGAACCATTGGATCTTATGAGCGCTCGCCCACTATACGATAATCTCACGACTACGACAAATTGTTGTGGTGCAGTCGTCCACTGCCACTGTGATCCACGATTGTCTGTCGTACGACTGTCTAACTCGCAGTGGCGTACACGATCAAATGGGCGCTCGCCCACAATACGATTTTATTATTACGGCGTTCTCCCCAGTAGTCCTATGTATAGTTTTTACAATTAACTCATAATTCTTCATTATTATAGTTGTTATATCACTTGGTTCTGCCTTTTTTTACCACTCTCTTGCGTATTTCTTATCGTGAATAAATATTTTTTATAATTCATTCATACTTTTTTATTATTATGTTTGATATATCGCTTGGTTTTTTTCAACCATTATTTTGCGTAATTTTGATCTTCCTAAGAAAAAATATGAACAAATTGTAAAAAATATATACAATTTGTTCACATTTTTTCTTTATAATATGTTTGTATACTGCATCACTTATAAGTTAATATACCAAAATAATTATTGAAACAATGTGAGTTTGGTTATTATTTAATATTTTATAATCATTGTTATTAATTATATTTTGTGAAATAGTTTCACTAATACCTAAATATTACTTTTTGCAGATTATATAAATAAAATTAAATCATTAATATTTAAAAACTAATCCAAAAAATTGGAACATAAACTTTTTACCAGAATATCCCAAAAACCTATGATAGTTATGGTAAATTTAAAAACTTTTAAAAGGCATGGACTTATATAATTTGAAAATGTCTTTAAATACATTAACTTAAGAAATAATCTACACATAAAAATAATTATTTCTTTAATGCTGTAGCCCTACATTGGCCACTGTCACTTAATCTGCGCCACATCAGCCACAACACTTAACGGATTCATTGTTTTACTATTTGATTAGGGGTGTGCGATGCAGCATATTTTTTTTTATTCGATGCATCGATGCGATTCAAAGAATTTCGAATCGATGCGATTCGATTCGATGCAGCACGGCATGATTTTCTTTAAAAATTAAATACAACATGTGTTTCTGTAATGGATTGTTTACCTTAAAAAGCTCAAACATGTACTAAATAAAATTATGAACAAGAGGATAGTTGCTGACCTAACCTCACTAATGGACACTGCTAATTTTATGGTTGGCCTAAGGAAATTCACCCTTCACTAACAATTAGAATAAGCCCATATATCAATAAAGTAATCGTTAAGTTTATTATTATTGACATGTATTAAATAAAATAGAGTTTATTTTATGATGTAGTATTGTAACTTAATTTTTACATTTATATTTGTTGGCTTTCAATACTTCTGGTTCATTCTTAAAATCAGGACGAACCAAAAAAAGTTGATAATCAGTGATTACTGTCTATTTGATACATTATTGCATGCTATGAATAAATAGATGTGAAATTAAAAATAAAGATTGAAATTAATAAAAGTGTGTGTAAACTAAAAGGTTCAAAGAGATCAGTGAGTAGGCCTACGAAAAGATAATTGTGTTATTAATTAGAACTTAACCCATTGGCGCTGACTTACGAGCGTTACTCGTACGGCCGCTGCAGGCCCGGCGGCCGACTTACGAGTGCCGCTCGTGTCACCGCTAGGCAGCGCCATTAGTTATTTAGTTATTATTATTTTTTCGCCCTTTTTGTTTCTTATTACTATTATAATGTTTATAAATATCTTGCTTCTTGATTTGCGTATTTACTCATTTATTTTAGCGAATAACAAACAATTTT